TCCAAGAAGATGTGATCGGTGACATCTCATGTTAGATATCACCTTGAGTCAATATTTAGGTCCTGGAGTACATCAGACTAAAGTGCATTCCATAATGTTTCGGCAGTTATGGCCTGGACACAATTTTGTGATAAGACAATGACAATCCAACAGATAGACAGTCAGCCAAGCCAAAACCATGTCTCCTTCCGCTGGAGGACACGTGATACATAGTTACAGACAATTCGAATGGAAAACTTGAGATGGCCTTTACTTGGCTTAAAATACTATCGCTTACTTGGCATAAATCGGGTTTAATTGACCTGTTAACCTTACCTGTGTCTGGTTAAAAGTAAATACGTTTGCTGACATTTGTCATAAATATCAACTTTGACGGGGATAAGTCTGTTCTAATATTATGTTATCCCAGACTAATGGCATTTTGTATGAAATAATATTATAATTATTAATTATGTTTATTAAATGCCGCCTGAATCTAACAGTTTACATAATTAAGGAAAATCATGTCATAGTAAGAGTTTTTGACTGTTCCTGCAATGATTTTTGAGTTTGTTCGTCTGTCTACGGAAATATGACAACAGATACTTATACATAAAATCAGTTTGACAGTTGACGTCTAAGGTCAGACGTAGTGTTTGACCAAGGTCAACCTAGAGATAGCCAATGGTCACTCTGTATAACTCTGACTGGGCCAGACATGCAATCTCAACCATTTAGAGATTTTACCAAAAAAAAAAAAAATGTGCTGGGCCCAATGAATGTTATCCTTAACAGAGTATAAGAATCTGTGCTTCTCTTTATTTTTCAAGAGTTGTCGGTGGTTTGCATTTCATATGTTCATCTGCACTAAGTTTTAGCTGTAATAGTATATTTTGGTTGAATTAAGTGCATTTTTGCAAAAGAAAAAAAAAAGAGATGTCAAGGGAGAAAAAATCAGAAAATTTTGAATCTGGAGAAAGAGGGCAGGTTCATGCGTATACGGTAAACAACAGTACCGTATTGTGGAATGTATTAAAGATGCTAATTTTGGCTTATTTATTATGGTAGAATCTTTCAGCAAGAAAACGCCAATTTTACACTAGATAAAAATAAACCCGCCATGTTTCTAAAGTTGACCCTTGATGCAGAGTATGACACTGAATTAAAAAATAAAGTGTTTCTTCATATTTATACATATAAAAACAGAGAAAATCTAGCTAAAGGGGTTTAGCATCATGGCATCACCTTTTACTAGCTGGGGTCAGAGATTCAACAAGAATCATCAGTGATCGATGATAATTTATTTCTAATTAGAAACAAACCTGTATTTGCTATTTATTGTGCTTTAAACTAAATTTAGAATGTTTCAATGAAACAATGTTTGAACCAAGATATCTTAGAAATAATAGTGCTTCTATATACCAAGGACGCACCTTCTAATGCTACTGTCGTACATGTATGTCAAGGACGGACATTCTACTTTCTTGAACTTCATTTTCCCATGAGCTTGTGACTTCATTTTAAAACGGTAACACTCTGAAAAATGCTGACCGCTTTAACTCAGTTTTACCTTTTACGCCTTATACATTCATTACAGGAGAGAAATCACTGTTGTAAAATTTTCTGACTTTCATAGCATTATGAATTTATTTTGAATACAATTAAATCTAGATAGATCACTTTTAGCGTTTGACCTTCTAATATGGAAACAAAATGCCAACTTTTTAACAATATTCTAAACTTTGGACCTCTTTCGAGGCTCCTGAACGACCCCATAACATGATTTTAAGCAGAATAAATATACAACCATGTAAAAATTTCATAGAAGCATTCATTTGTCTTTTCTTTTAATTCTAGTAAGTAAAGATATCAATTCATTAAGAAATTTTTCGTTCCAACTTTGGCACAAAGCTGCAAAAGAACAAGGGAAATAAACAAACAACACGCTTTTTTGTACATGTATATATATTTTTCATTAGATTTTTAATGACACAGCTGGCACCGTCATTTACAAAGGAAAAAGCAAACTCACATCATGGTTACAAATCATTTTGTATTTTAAAAGTCTCTCTGTTAAACATAAGACATTGATAAGTACAATTCAAATTGTATTTATTAAGTAGCTACCTATGCATGCAAATACTTTCTTTGCATGAATTTTAACCCTTCTAACATTTCACATTTATTGAAGTTCAAAAGAGCAACTTAGCTCGGGAATTACAGTCACTATTTACGATTGCATGCATATATACTGGCCCGCTTTTGTACATGTGTATCAAAACATAGACCGTATTACAAAATTTTCCAGGATATTTTTGAAATTTGTTGAAAAGATGCGATATATTTATCGATTAATCGTCGATTAAAACCAGCAAAATAATCAATTAATGAATTCAACTCACTATGACGTCCTAATAGGGACCATTTAATTGTGAAATCGATATGATAGTCCCTAACTTTGACGTAGATTCGTCAATTAGACTCTTATGAATTAGAGTACATGTTCCAATTGATTAAGGTTAGTCCAAAACAAGCAGACGATCACGTACGTACTGTACAGTTGTCAGAAATACGAGCACTCTCTCAGGGTTAACACTTCCTTATATAGTCTCGACACTATTGGCGAAGTCAGTGCTACAATACTCGTAGCTTATATATTTCAAAGACTCTATTGAAAAAAACAAAAATATGAATGAATAATTAATATCCCAGGTTTCTTGGGAGATATATATATAAACTTTGATTTTTAACAGGGCATAAGGAGTCTTTCTGCAAAGGGATTTGACATATTTGTCCTTATACGGGTTTAAAGAAGATTTCACCGACCAGTTGTGAATCACTGTCTATAGAAAAAAATTATACACCGATTTTAATTTCCCCTTACCGAAATAAGTTTTTGAAAAGTTTTGGTGAAAGTGGTCTTGTGTATTTGATGTCGTCATAAAAATTAAGAGTTAATACTGAGAGACGTCATGCATGGGACTGGTACATAACAGGGAACTCTTATCAGAAAGATACTTCAGTTTCTTGCTTCCTTAAGCTAATTATATATGGGATTGTCGAATAAGATAACATAACTTTGTACTTCAAGAACAAAACAATGTCTTCTGTACCTAAGCGTCAAAGATGCGCTCATATAGAATTTATTTCCAAAGTAGGGCCTCGTGTGGCATGACATATAACAATTATGATTACATATAAATACACATGAAACAGATTAGTACAATTTACAAGTGTCAATTTACATTGAATCTCAATGTTCAGTATGCATATAGTAATATAATGATATGATGACTAGATGCAATGTAACTTAGAGAATCAATTCATCATTCAGTTTGTATAATACATGTACATCATGTATTTATAACTGTTTCCTTTTTTGTCAATTTGTTTTTCATAGACATATTTATTGGAAAATAAACTACAGTAAAGTGCTTTCTTAACACAATCGAAATATTCTTCAACACAAAATGTCGTCAAGAATCCTATATTTCTTCAGTATCTTGATTTCCCAAATGAAAATCTGCTGAAATTCTGTGACGGTAGTTTCCAAGAAGCCTTTGAGCTTTATTGATATAGGCAAGGATATAACTGTCTAGGGAAACCTACCTCGTAAAATCATTTACTACGCTCATTGAAAGCTAATGTTTAGGAATTGATCCAACTAGCACTGTTAATTTTTCGATATTCTCTTGATAAAGATCTAAAGTCTAAACTACGACAAATGATATATATATGAGAAGCGGTGTTCAGCAAAAATCTCATAAAAGACTTTGAAAATGAATATTCCGGCCTTATAGATTGTGATGATTAAAATACGCAGACATTTTGTTTCGCAAAATTGCAGGGTAACCTTTTCAGTGCAAAAGAATATTGCACAGTCTAAGTGTATTATTACATGTACTGTAGCGCAGCAGAGGGCGATATTATTTTTACGTAATTGTAGGGTTGAAGTGAAAGTGTATGCAATATTACATGCATAAGAGAAAGTTGAAAAAAAAATGGAGTCATTGCCTATTCTTCTTTTGCCACTTCTGGCGTTTATGAAAGTAAACCGCACGAAGACAATGTATGTTTTGCGTGTATATTCACTGAAAGTTACGATCCGCATGGAAACCCAATAACGAAGACCTGCAGTATATATTTAGCTTATCATGGAAAGGGATATTCGTAATATTCCCTCGCTGATAGCGGGGATGGGCAAGGTTATCACTTTATTTGCGCGTTGATGATTTATGCATAATTTATCGCTTTTTGATAAATCGACTGACAATTCCAATAATTCGTTTTGTTTTTCGATTATTTTGCTCGATCTGTCGCAGATTGACACATTCTGTACATGAATTAGCCAACAGGGTTTCTACTTTTAGTATTAATGTTGAGTAGTCGTTCGAACTCTGTTAAGCTCTATTCTAATAAAAGCATTCCATCCTTAATAATCAATACGCACTATTGGGTTTCCATATAAGTATGAAGTTGCACGCTTTGTTATAAAGACATCTCTATTCTTGTGGACAAATCTACCTTGTATCAATTTCGCATTGTTGATTGTAAAAATACAAAGGTGTTTTCTACTTATTCATTTACAAATTGCAGAACGTCTAGGAATTTCACAATCGCAATGTTTCAGAACACTTATATTTGTTTCCTTGCGCGAAACAGAAACTAGTGTCGGATAAATATCATATACCATTCATTACCTAAAAATTATATTAAATTCATTCTCAGAATTTCGTCGTTATTTGTCGCACATTCATATCCTCGAGAAATCTGTTGAGAAATTGCCGTGTGCTGATCGTCTTTCACTGAAATATTAATCCAATGTTTTCATCTTTTTTACGTGCATTGACTTAAATCAAAATGATCAGTGTCAACCATTTTTAATAAAATTGTTGATGAATATTACAAATAAATCTCGCTATTTCTCAAAATTGTCGTCGAAAATCCTACGTTTACTAAAGACAAATAAAATAACATGGAACACATTTGTTTCGTTTAACGGTTTCTTTATTAACCATAAACATTTTTTATTTGAGCACAAATTGCATCTCTGCAAAAAATAAATAATCAATAAAATAAAACCAAAAATATAATAATATCTTACATTTGTGTGACAAGACTGGCACTGTATGAAGATTATGATAATAAATAGATGAAGAAAAAGAATGAATGACACACTCATACACTTATTCTGAACAAAATTTGGTCAGATAAAAACTTTGGTTGATTTTTGGTCCTATAATGTTTGTGAACAATTTGACAATTATTTTGTGTCAAAATCAATATTGTAGCATTGAGATTTTCAAAAGCACTTATAACCCCGCACTCGCCGCAGAAATGCCTATCGAATACAAGCACCAGGCATTAGATACACACATATCTACTTCAAGTGAAGTGGATTTATATGATAAAAAATGAAAAATAACAAGATTACTCAACAATAACAACAAATCATCATTGCACAAAATATTCAAAAAATAAATAATAAATAAGTCTTTGTTCACAAAAGTGGCTTTTTCATGGCGTCATTACAGAGAGCAGGCGTAATGTCTTCGATGTCATTCTCATCGAAAATGATATGGCGTACTTCCGGTCAAGGGTTCATGGGAAAAAAATCCAATAACGAAGACGTTTCAAGAGTGGCGTATATAACTGAAAGGCTCCAAGAATTGAAATGGCTCCAGTCATTTTTACGGCATATGTTGCTCGTTTTCTATTATCCATTGTATAATATGTTCGTGTCCTATGGTTATAAAGCGAAAAGTATTTTTTGCGTCATTATGCAGAAAGCATATACACCCCGTCAAAGTCACAACTCCTGATCGAAGCCACAACGAGTATTGTAATAGAAAATCGAGACAGAAATTCCGGTCCTTTTAGGTTCCAAGGAGAAAAAAAATATGGTCCTAAAAGTTATTACGACTTCTTGACTGTAAAGGAGAGAAATGTTTTTTTTAATATTCTGGTGCAACAACAGCATATTCCAATCTTTTATTCCAATAGTTCAATAAAAATGCAATTACAAAAGAGTTTAACTTACATTTTTCAATGGATAGATGTATATTTTTTGTGAATCTTCCCCTTTTCTGTTTGACGCCCTACATTCATAGTTGCCCCTTTGGCTCCACGTAAGTCGTTTAATCAACAAATCACCATTTTCTAAGATCTGTTAAAAAGAAAATTAACAGGTTACATCTACGACATTGCAATCACATAAGATATACAAGTATTAAATATAAATCATGACAGATGCTTTTCATAAAACGTGAAATGAGGACTTTACCTTGTATTTATCATTTTCCATTGGAATTTCCTGCCCATTTTTATCCAACCAGCTGATCTGAGGTGCTGGACTTCCTTCCGCTCGGCAGTACAACTGCGCAGACTCGCCCATCGTTTCGATGCGCAGGCTGGTCCATTGGTATATTCTAGCTTCTATGTCTAAAATAATGAAATTATTGAATAGTTAAAAACAAATTACTGATTCATTTAAAAAAAAAAAAAGAAAGTTAAATTATTTGAGTGAAACTGTTTCGGAATATTTTTTTATGTACATAATTGATGTTTACCTCTCTCAATGCATTTTCTACTTGAAAAATCACCAGCGGCATCCTCTGCTACATTTAAAAATTCATCAACAGAACGTTCTAAAATAAAATAAAAATAAGTAATGATAATGTTGTATTAAAATTATGAATTCAAAATTCATAATATCGGGAAATTCTTAAATTCTACAAAAACAACAAATATTTGAATTAGGCTGGTTAAAAATTCACTTACCTAGGACAAGACTGGTGTCCTGTGAAATTCTTGATGTGGGTGTTTCCCCAACACAAGTATATACATCTTCATCCTCATCATCCACGCAGTCTAAGTATAACTTTGACGTCGTAAAAGACTTTCCGAAGAATGATCCGTTATCCTCGTATTGTGTTTGATCGTCTCGGTAGTCATGACCAGAGCCCTAATAAAATTAAAAACAAAGATCAATTTTAAAAAAATCAAACAAACAAATGCCGTAAACTGTTTTACTGTTGTACCTAAGTTTTAAACATCATTTTATGTATTCAGTTAACATACCTGTTGAATTCTTGCTCCATTTTTCAACCAGTGAATTGTTGGTTCCATTCCTCCAACTTTACACGTTAAAACAATGCTTTCATGTTTGAAAACTGTTGTTATTTCAGGAAGTCTTTCTTTGAAGAATAGCGCTTGACTATCAGGTGTGGGTAGCCTCTGTGAAGAAATGAAAATAAAAATAAATCAGACACATTTTACCTTGATTGTAATCTATACTTTAAAAAGGCAGTGTAGCGTTCGCGTCTCCGGAAATAGATTTTTCTTTCAATGTGTCATTCTGGTGCGTTGTACTATTTGGCAATCTGCCCAATGGGTCACTAGCAGAGAATCAGGTCAAAGCTTTTATCAATATTAGAAAAAAAATTTAATAAAGCGACATGGAAAGTCGATACTTTTCCTCTACAGGATTCAGTTATAATTTGCTGCAATATGCCTTTCAACGAATCGGGTTACATAATGGAACGATATCTTTAGAATTGCATCACCCAAAATGCGAATAGAGGGAGTGTCCCTCGAGATTTCAATTCAGGAATAGATACCTTTTTTAGAAAACAGTTTGAAATGACTCATCTAATTTTTTTTTCTGCAGTATTTTTCAAAGAATATTTTCTAAAGGTAGTTCCAAATATATACTAATTTTTTTTTAATTACAAAATTAATTACTTACCAATACCCTTGCCCAAGCACAGGAAATGGACAGTTGAATAAGAAGGAACACTGATATTTGATTAAGTGATAAACCCATTCCTTAGACACTGAAAAATAAAATACAAAATTTAATGCCAAAGTGAAATTTGAAAATAATGCATTCAAGTCAAATTAAAATAAAAAAAAGAAGTAAGATTAAAAAACAACTTTTTACTTACCAACTAAAAATGTAAAAAATAAAAAAAGTTGTAACTTCCAAAGCAGTATTTCACAGAAATAAAGCAAAAAAATAATCCTAGTATATATGTTAGAGAAAGCTTCTTTTCCACGTGGTCACTGAATCTTTATCGTGAGACAATTGTCGATATAGGGTTAGGTCCAAGAATATATAACTCGTTGACGTCATTCAGAACATTTGATTGGCCAGTCTAACACGCAAGTATAGTAAGTTAGGGTGTGTCTTTTGACAGCCAGCGCCGCCCACAGAGCTTCTCACTGATAGAATTAGAATATTCTTGAATCAAAGATATATAAATGTTACATATATACATAACTAATTATCATCAAATGCATTTATTTTTATACCAATAGCAGAGAGACGATATAGGGAACTAAACATATAGAATGCAGAGCTCTACGGTTAACTTCTTATTAATTTTCGGAATTATGCTAATTCTAACGTTAATACAGAGATGTTGCAAGACTTATTTTTAGCAGCGAAGTAGAAATAGAAACACAGCATATCCAAAACAAAACGAGAACTAAGCACTTTGCCAAAATAAACTTTTGAAATGAGATAATCTGATAAACTATGTCAAATCCTAAAGTCCCAAATTTCCCATATACTTAGCCTTAAATTTTGTCCAAGGAATAATTCAAATATTAGTTTTTATTATGCTATCCTGTAATGCGCTCTACTGCCTTTGTATAAGTACAAAAGAATGTAACTAATCAAGCTAATCCAATGAAGAATTCTTTAAATGAATTTAAAGACTTTGAGTGACCGGAAACTAAGCAATTCTACGGTTTGTTCAATACTTGTATTATAAAAAAGTAGATTTAATGGTCTCGGTAGTCAATGGCGTAATAGCCGTCAAGCATGATATAACAGAATTCCTAAGACATGAAGTGAATCATCAGTGACTCGCGTCTAATACCTGGAGGGAGTACGTAACATTTTCATTCATGGCCACGATATGGGAAGACTTACGTTTTTCCATTCATAAAATCGCCTTGTTTAGACCAAGGGTGTTTAAAGGCACAGCGTTGCTTTTATCTAGTTCAACACTGATTGGGTCAGTAGGTTGGGATATACCCATGCAGTTCCGGCAACTGTGACACACCTCGGGGGATTTCTATTACAAAAAAAAAAAAAAATCGGTTAAGATGTCCTGAGCAATGAAATATAAAATTTAAATGCACGTATTACAGAAAAAAATGCACTCAAATTTCATGAAATAAAAGAAATTTATTATGAAAAAAAATCGAAAAGAAAATACTATTGAAAAAAAAAACCTTTGATAAATTATTTCATTGTGTCAAAAAAAAAAAAGATTACTTAATGAAAATATGAATTAAAACCATTAGTGACGTAAATACTGGATCGAAAATGATGAATCTGACACACAAAGGTCAAATTGATCAACACAGCTAATATTGCATGTATTCCACATTTCAGTTAAGTGGGACATGACATTTCTATGGTTTATGTTCTATTAAAAAATAATAATCCAAAAAAATCTTCTGATGGTTCACCGTTGATTTTGGTTAAAATAACCCTGATTGATAATTCATTAAGAATACCAACCATTTCAAAAAATCAACCATAAATTAAAGTCAAAATATTCAGGAAACATTAAACATCTGCGATATCATTACCATATCGGTGACGGTGGAGTATATATATTTGGGTTTGTGGAAGTACTTTATCATTTTCAGAGACATCGTAGAAAGTGCACGACTTGCATGCCAAGGATTTCCAACCATGCATATATAGCTTTCCTGAAAATTAAGTATATAGAATTACCTTTTAGGTAAATAGAACAATCTCGATTGTAGGTCACTAGTACAGATGATCAAGGTATTTTATCACGCTTATATTTACATAAAACACCTGATTTTTTTGCACTCTATCTTCAAGACACAAGTGACCAATTTATTATTTGATTTGTCATTTTAATCCATGCATCATTTTTTTTTCAAAAGGTAATAGAAGCGAAAGCTTTATGGAGAAAAAAAAGAGAATCTGAAGGTCAAAAGTATATACTAGGTATTTTGATATGCGCGTTTAAAATAATCATATATTTTATACGTGCATGCAAACGAAAAAATACAACTGAGATTGATCAATAAAGAGAATTTGATCAATGATAGGGGGAAAAAATGCAAATCTTCATTATATGTTATACTGTTGGATCACAACAACCATTATGAAGTGTCATATTCACCAGGAAGCGTAAAAAAATCATGCAACGATCAAGATTTTAATAAAAGAAAGCTAAAACGTCAAAAAAGATCGAGGAAGAGGCTTATTCGACCAGACTGCATTCCACACCCGATGTAAATTACCCACGTGTTCTATGTTCAGTATTAAATTCCTTCTATATTAGAATGTATTGCATTAACGTTCTTCATTAAATACAAAGGAAACATATTATCACATTTATTGGCATGATCAACAATATGTTTTTGTTGTTCACAGAGGAGAGACAGTTTGTGATATTAATGTTTTATTAATATTAACGTGGGTTTAAAATGTGATGAACTAATAAAATGATATTTTGATTTCTTTCAGTTAATTATAGTCTCATTTGCTTTCCTCAGTCCAGTAAAATCAAATCGCTTTCTCTACAAAATTTAATTTGAATATCTTTTACTATTAAATTCAACAATATCAAAATTGAGCGGTATTTTTTTTTTTCATTATTAATATTTCTAAAAATTTTAATTTTTGTTAATTATGAATGTTTCACTGACTGCAATACTTGGAATTTATAAATCTGATAAATTTATCTTCAGTTTGTCTTACAACTCAAAAAGTGCAATCCTACTGAAATCTCATAAATCTTTCTATTTAAGTTTTTTTTATTTACAGGTTTGGGTATTATCGTGGTTCAATCCTACTTTTTCCCCCCTGAGTTCTAATGCTTTGTATTTCCTCAGATAAGCTGTGGTAGCTTCCAGCGATTATTTGATCGCTAATAATGAATGGCCGACGACTTATTGATGCAACTTCCAAACGCGGTGTACTTTGATAAAGGAACGCAAACATATTTTTGTTTAATTGTTACAGAATAAAAATGGATAGAAATGAAATCTCAGCATCTGTTTCCAATTGGAAGTGAGTCAGTCCTTTTTTATGTCGTAAATGACAGATATTTTCGTCGTATAACTTATCTGTAGTATGTTTTACGCTTACTGTTACATGCATGCTGAAAGTCATTTTTCCGTTCTATTTATTCTAAGTTCAGTTGGTGTAACACTGTTACGTTTTTCGTCAGAAATAAGCTTGTATGCAAATAAACCCTTGTCTTCTTGCTCAAGTTCATCGTAATGTTAACCACAGTCGTTCATGGAGGGCCACCGGAGTTTAGCCCATCCCATGAAAAGAATACCGATATAATCTAACATACATTATCCCTCAAAGAAAGGTGTCTAACCACAAAAATGCGATGGGTTTTTCGTCAATCGTAAGTCCAACCTAAATCCGTCTGCATTTAGTAACCCTGACAATCAATGTGTGAAGGGACAATCCCAGAAAATGACCGGAAGAGCTAGTCTGAAATATGTCAATCAATCACTGACCTAGGTAGGTAAAACACGTGCATTACTTACAGACGTTCCCGATCCGTAAAATTGAGTGGATTTATTTTTTGCGACTCTCTTCAAATTACAAAAAAGAATTGATTAGTAATAATTGAAATAATAGTTAAATACTAAAATGACAAATATTTTCAAAATGATAATTAAGAATATAATTAAGATTTCATGAGAAAGTGTCAAGAAATAAAATATCTTAGGCATAAAATTTGAATTGAGAAAGTGTAAAAAGAGAATTAATTTTTACATAAAATTAAATTTTCACACGTACTAAAATTTATAATAATAATAATTCTGTCTATAAATTATAAAATTATACAGTTGAGGTACAAATAGGACAACCAAAACATGTCATGTATTCTCGTGATATATATATATATATATATATATATATATATATATATATATATATATATATATATATATATATATATATATATATATATATATATATATATATATATATATGTATATATATATATATATTCTGAAGACATATACTCATTGCTTTTTAGCCAATAATTGGTATAGTGTATTTTTTTTAACAATCCATACACAAAGTTGGATTATGGAACAAAATTCCTTACAATCGGATAAACACTGTATAAATGGGAAAAGCAAAAGTGCAAACGCGCACTTTGTAAAAGGGTTATCAAAGGAAATGTGCGCTTTTTGAGGTGGTTAACCACGACTCAGATTTAATGTAACACTTCCGTGAGTGACAGATTCACACTTCGACTATGGAACCTCTTTAGGATGATTAATTTTAGGCCATTCGTTTTTTATTGTACAGAAAATTGAGCGAACTTCGCATTCATACACACACACACACACGGCGGAGCATTAACGTCAGGGACTTATATGCCGCATCGAGTTTTTTTCAAGAAAGGCGATCGCGAAACATGACATCAGCATTATTCTCCCCTTCATGTTTTGATGCAGCGTTTTTGTTTTCGGGTTTTTTTCCCGTTTTTGATGAAGGTTATAGTTCATTGTTGTTTATTCCAGTCGTTAGGATACTTTATTGACCCTAATCGGTTATGGGCGCATATAGGTTCTCTAGATTGTGCAAGTTTAAAAAAATCTTTCAAGTTCTTTTATTTATTGCATCTTCATTTTTTTTTCCGCAGCTCGGATTTCTTAATCCTTAAATTCTCAAACAATGTGAGAGTGCTACCCCCCCCCCTTCAAATGGAACAAGATTTGGAGAAAAGGTTGGGAATAAATTACACATATTTCTTAATATTGACACGAATTCGAAGCTAAATATCTGCATGCTGTATTTACGTCTTCTACGACATATTTATATTACGAAGTAAGTTTTGCTGAATAATTTTGTAAACTTTGTGGCATGGGTGTGGGATGTCTCAGTTCAATAGACCTGTCTATATATATTTTAGTACAATGTATTTTCAATGGATCATTTTAAAATTAGAACTGCCATTGCAGAATTCAAAATCGATACATCAATTTTATGATATCAACATCTTTTTCGAGAACTGATAAGTTATATATACAATTTAA